ACCAACAGCGCTGTGAGGTAATGCATGGATGTTGTTTTAAGTGTCTGTGTTTGCTGTAATTTGTTACATAGCAATGGAAAACTAATATAATCCTACAAACCTCCTCCTATCAGTGTGAGTCTCTCAAACTGGTGCTTATGCTAGAAAATATTAGATCTCGCTAAGAACCCTCTCTTTAAAAAATACAATAAGGGGTCAACAATATTTTAGGGCAATTGATCATCTAAAAACTCCCACTTAAAATTTTAAAATATGATTTAGAATGCAAATATATGCCAAAGGATCCAGAAGTATCTCTTAGGAACAGCAGAGCTCAGTCCTCTTTGAGGTCATACTTTTTTTATTAGCCTAATTGTTGACTGTCAGAATCTTGAAATCAGGATTAATTTGGACTAAATGTCACTGGCTGCCCCCAATTATTTTGGCTAGTGAAAGCAGTATGCACTGAGCACATAAAGGTTATTTAATGGACTAACTTCATACTTACCAAGAATATGTAATGGCTTTTAAATTTTTATTATTAGAAATTAGAGATTATGTGCAGCAGGTCCTCACATAAAATCATTTCATTCAAGGCCATTTTATTATAAAGTTGATGAGAAAACAAATGGTGCCACAGCACAGCCACTGTCTGTGTGGACTTGGCGCATTACCTCCATGTTTTCCTGGGCTTTACTCAGGTACTCCAGTTTTCTCCCATTTCCCAAAAATGTGCACGTTAGTTTCATTGGTATGTCTAAATGGTCCCAGTATGAGTGTGTGTGAGTGTGTATGTATGTGCATAAATGTGCCCTGGGTGGCATGACATCCTATCCAGGATGGTTCCTACCTTGTCTCTGGAGCTGCTGGAATATACTCCAGCCACTTATGATGCTGAACTTGAATAAGAGAGTTGAAAAACGAATGAATGGATACAAATTATTGTAATATAAAAATTTGTCAAATAGACAATAATCATGCTAACGCAGGGCAATAGATGACGCAGGAAAGTACTCAGCAAGCCCGCCACATTGATTGTTTGTTTGTGAACTGCATGGTGGTAAGAGGTGCTCCCAAAAATTTTGCTTTGCCAACATTTATTCCTTGATTTAACCTACTACCACTACAACAACCGTCATTTACTGATTCACCAAAAGTTGAGTAAATAATTAGCATCACATTATGTTTTGAATGAATCTATCTTAAATGTATGTGTGACTCACATTTATTTCAATGTTCAACATTAAAAGTGTTTTGGGTCTTTAGTGTGAAAGTTAAGCATATAAACTGAGTCATTCATGTCATATCCAACTAAAACAGAGTCAAGAAGCCAGTGGGAAGAAAAAACTCATGGTGTGTAATCATTGCCCCAAGAATATAATTCTCTGCAATCCTGGCTGCTGAAACTGCCTGCTGTAACTCAAAACCAGTTTCATCTAATAGCTACAAAAACAACCTGATAGGACGCCAAGACTGGCTTAATCCACTGCAGTCACTCACCAGTCAGAGCTCGTCAGCTCCCCACATTTTACTAGTGCCAATTGAACCTTCTTTCAAAATGTTACAGAACATTTCTCCTTTTTGTGAAACCTCTAACCTTCTCTTTGTTCTTCGGACATACCGAAGATCTACATGGCTATTCTTGGTTCCCCAACAAAATGTTAAGCTTAGAGATGCATCTCTAAATTTTTATTTTGATTTAGTCAGAGATTTGGTGATATTTTTGAGATCAGAAATATGCCATAGCAATGTTATATAAATTATCTCACAGTAAAGCTGACTGCGTTGGCCAGGTGTGGTGGCTCATGCCTATAATCCCAGCACTTTGGGAGGCTGAGGCAGGCGGACCGCGAGGCCCTAAAGAGACTGATCAAGACCATCCTGGTCAAGATGGTGAAACCCCATCTTTACTAAAAAGACAACAACAACAAAAAATTAGCTGGGCATGGTGGTGTGCACCTGTAGTCCCAGCTACTAGGGAGGCTGAGGCAGGTGAATTACTTGAACCCAGGAGGCAGAGGTTGCAGTGAGCCGAGATCGAGCCACTGCACTGCAGCCTGGAGACAGAGGGAGACTCTGTCTCAAAAAAAAAATATCAGTTTCATTATATGTCATTTTGCTTAATATCACAGCTTCCAAGAATATATCAATAACATTAAGTGAATACTCACTATATTTGTAGGCCTAATAACTTTTCTATTGAAGTCAGGCTTTTGGTGTATATGAGATATTTCTGATGATTAGCTAATTCACAAAACTGGAAATTGCCATAACTGCATTATAAATGTAAGCGATAGCCTGAATGGCTTTCTTATTTTATAATCTAAGTTTATGATAGATCTATAATCTCACAGATTGGTGGCTTTAAATTTCTTGTTTTGTAACACAGGAACAGAAAACCAAACACCACATGTTCTCACTCATAAGTGGGAGTTAAACAACAAGAATAATGGGCACAGGGAGGGGAGCATGACACATCGGGGCCTGTCAGGTGGTGGGGGAGAAGGGTAGGGCTTAAAACCCAGATGACAGGTTGATAGGTGCAGCAAACCTCCAAGGCACGTGTATACCTACGTAAAAAACCTGCACTTCCTGCACATGTATCCCAGAACTTAAAGTAAAATAAAAAATAAATAAATAAAATAAATTCCTTGTTTCGACATTGCATTTGTCTGAAAACCAAACCTTTTATAATCAACAGACCAAGAGTTTCCTCCATCCCCATGTGCTTAGATTTCTTTTATCATTGCAAAAAAATGTAGAGAAGTTTGGCAATTGGTAGTTAATATTGCAAGAAAAAAAAAGAATGAAAAATGTAAGTTAATTTATGATTACTAATATTACATTTTAAATGAAGAAAATAAAGAGAAAAAAAGAATAACTAATAGATGATGTCTCTCCCTAGCATCCTGAGAATAAATTGTTTTCAAAATATTGCTTTGATAATAAATTCTTCTTATTTCTCCATGTATAAGTTAATTAATAAGTTCACATACCACTTCTATTTAGTAGTATCAAGTAAAATCTCTTTGGATGCCCAATAATTGTTTCTTCAAATAGTGTCAGTTCAGCAAAGGCAAATTATTTTTCTGACATAAGAATGGTTGCCAATATATAGTTACAAGTTTAGCCACCAGCACCATTTTGCAAAAGACTTAAAATATTTGCTTAATGCTTGCCTTAGGGCATGTATTTTAACTATGGATGTCAAACATTGAACCAAAAGTTGTTTTTTACTTTTTAGTTTATAAATAAAAGCAAAAATGGAGTTATTTTAAAGATTATTAAATTACTACTGCTAAACTTTTATTTTTTATATTAATAAAACCAAGAGATTTTGAGCTAAACCATTTCATTCTCTATCTCCCCCATACACAAACCTGAGTGCATGCCCAACTCTTTACATACACAGATTCACATATAGCTTTATTAAAGTCATATGTTGAACTTTCTCCTCTCACCCTACACATCAGCATTAATTTATGTAAGTATGAGAAAGTGAACGAATATAGAAATAAGATGACATTAAAGCAATAGTCTTGTCATTCAAAGCGTGCTTCAAGATCTAGCAGCATCAAGCCTCACCTGGGACATTATAAAAAGGCAAAATCCCAGACCACCCTCTAATAAAAACCCCCAGGTGAGTCATATATACATTAAACATTTGAAATACCGTTCCAGACTAGTGATTCGCAAGGTGTGGTCAACATCATCTAGGAAACTAGGTGAAACTAGAAATACAAATGTTTAGACCCCACCCTAGAACTACACATCAGAAACTCTGGGGGTAGAGGCCAGCAATCCATGTCTTACCCAGCTCTCCAGGCTGGTAAAGAGTGGCAGCTGGTCCTATTATGGCATGACCACATGCCCAACCATGAGGGTGGTGGCATCGACAACTGCTGGGCACCAGGAAATAAAACCTCAGAACTTCTACAAATCTACCAGAATTTTATCTGCTTAGCTTTCTAAACTCATCTGTGCCACTCTCCCAATAGCTCACTAGGCTCCAGCCACAAAGCTATTTCCTGTCTTAGGAACCCCAGACTCACTGAGGTTCTTATCCTTCCTCCCTGGAAGGTTCTTATCCTTCTCTTGACCTGGCTAGCCCCTTCTTACCCTTTAGGACCCATCAGAAATGTCATCTCCGTAGAAAAGCTTTCTCTGACCCATCCTTAATTTGTTCTTTGTTTGTCTGAGCCTTGTTTTCCTCATAGAATAAATCACAATTCATAATTAAGCTATTTGTTTGTTTATTTGTTTACTAACTGTCTTTCCTACCAGCCATTAGGCTCCATGATATAGGGCCCACCTTTACCTGAATCACCCCATTTCCCCTACTGCCTAACACAGTGTCTGGTATATAGGAGCCTTTAACGAGCATTTGCTGTGCCAAGCATGGTGGTTTATGCCTATAATCCCAACACTTTGGGAGGCTGAGGTGGGAACATCACTTGAGGCCAGGAGTTTGAGACAAGCCTGGGTAACATAGCAAGACTCTACCTCTACCAAAAAAAATAATTAATTAAAAACGGAAAATTTTTAAAAATGTTCACTGAATAAATGGCTAAATAACAGATATAATGACAAGAATACTAGACTCAGGTAGATGGAGACTTACCATTGTTAATGGAGGTGCCACAAAGACTCATTCTTTCTACAATCATACTGGGCGAAAGAAATGGTCTTTGCCACACTGAATTAAGAAGATAAGTAAACATAAGTTGATTATAATGTTCAATACTTTTCAACATTAGAAGTTCTTCAAATACCAAAGTCTTTCTCTAGGACATTTAGAATCTTTTCATTTTTTAAATGTTATATAAATAGGAGAAAGCATTTTTCTTAGGCCAAAAGGAACCAATGTTACATTTAGAAGGCAAGGCAATTGGTTGCATAAAAAATATAATCTACAGTATGTTTGTTTTTAAAAAGAAATTCTAAATCTCTATGGTTAACGTGGTATAGTAACGTCTTCTTTACAAAGCAAGACACCACAATAAAGTAATGGCACAATAAAGAAACGTTTGTTGTTTTTTACTCTTTGTATTATCTTCATATCCCAGTAAAAAATAAACTCTTTAATAAATAAATATATAATAAATATTTTCCAATTGAAAATGTATAAATAGGTCCATTCTTTTAAAAAATGTTCTGTCTTGGTGTGGCATGTTTCATAGTTCATAGTTTCACTCAGGTTTTGTTTTGTTTAGCTTTAACATATAATGCCATAACCTGTGAATTCTACTAGGTCCTCAGAATATATGTAGTGATGGTCTTGGCTAACTAAGTCAATCCATTTCTTCCACATGAAGTCTCTATTTTTAACATAAATCTTAAAGTAAACATAATCCAGAGAGGTGAGGCACCAGCAGCAACCATGTGGGGGTTCCCATTACCCACACTTGACAGATTATTGGCTTCAGTCTACTGGTAAGGACTGAGCCCATGTATCTAAGGGAACTTAATCCATCTATAAAGAGTGATCATCATCTATTTCTGGTCAAAATGTTTTTTCTCAATATTCTTTCCAAATTCAGTCTCCCAGTAGAAAATAGACTCTAATATTCTGAATGTCTTCTTGGGTTATTATTTATGATGGGAACTGTGATAAGAAAGAATAGCTGTGGTTTGACTCTTTCATAAAGTCACTAACACACTTCAAGTGTACATCAGTAGGTCCTTGTACAATTCTGGAACTCTTTCTGGATCCACTGGTCTAGGTAGGAAATGTGTAAACTTCTGATGTCTTTTGGACCTGGCACCATCTCTAGGAGTTCCGTCTTTGTTAAGTGCCACAAAATACCTGCGGCCAGTGTCTCCATGTTTATATATGTTGGATGAATAGGTGTTGTACCAGTTCTCTTCAAATTGTTCCCTGAAGATGCATTCGGAAGTAAGTTTCTCCTGAAACGGAAAAGATAACTATTATTTTCTTTAAAAAAATACCTTTGAGATAATTTCTTTACAGGTTTTAACTCTGTATTTTCATTTCTTTGCCTATCACTACATCCTCATCAAAGAAAGAAAAAGGTTAAATTGGTTTTGCTTTGTTTTAGTTAATATGTTATCTCTAATTCTTCATACAGGTTACTTCATTTGGCAGTATACTTTAAAGCAGCAGTCCCCAACATTTTTGGCATCAGAGACCAGTTTTGTGGAAGACAATTTTTCCACGGACCAAAAGGAGGAGGGAGAATAGTTTCAGGATTATTCAGGCTCATTACATTTATTGTGCACTTCATTCCTATTATTATTACATTGTAATATATAATGAGATAATTATACAACTCATAATAATGTAGAGTCAGTGGGAGCCCTGGGCTTGTTTTCCTGCAACTAGACAGTCTCATCTGGAGGTGATGGGACACAGTGCAGATCATCAAGCATTAGATTCTTATAAGCAGCATGCAACCTAGATCTCTTGCATGCACAGTTCACAATAGGATTCATGCTCCTATAAGAATCTAATCCTGCAACTGATCTGATAGGAGGCGGAGTTTAGGTGGTAACGCAAGCAATGGAGAGCAGCTGCAAATACAGATGAAGCTTCACTTATTTGCCTGCTGCTCACCTCCTGCTGTGCAGCCCAGTTTCTAACAGGCCACAGACCTGTACCAGTCAGCGGCCCAGGGGTGGGGATCCCTCCTTTAAGAACTTTAAGTCAAATGCCAATTTCCAATATTATTTTTAAATACTTAATAAATACCTTGAATTTTCTCATGTCCCATATTATCACCCTACTACCACCATCACTACCAAGCAGACCTGTAGTTTACCTTTTTCTATCATTAGATGCCAGAGTTCCACCTATCAAGCCTCTATTCTCACCTTGGAACATTTCAAGATCTCTCTAAGAACCAAATTCCAAATTCACGATCATCACTCCAAATCATATATCTTCTTTTTATGAATTTACTAACTGTCTGATGATACATTCCCCATGATTAACTTTTACCTGGATCTCTTGCTACTAAGATAAAAGCCCAATGATTTTTCATCTTTTCAAAATGGACTGTATATTATCCTAAGGGATAAACCACAGTTGCTTTTTTTAAATCTAACATATACACGAATATTGTATACATGATTTTTTTCTGTTGTAATTCTATTAATTTTACTATAATTCTACACTTATGATTATCATACATTGCATTGTTTTTCTTTGTTCTGATCTGACAGGAAGCCTAGAAAAAACAAGTTTTACCCTCACAAAGGACAAATATTTGTCCACTTCAATATCATCACCAATTTTTCTCAGTGTATATTAAGACTCTAACTGAATACTGTGGTTCCAGTTGAGCTTTTAAGAAAAAAAGAAGGTACCAGATAGTGCCATCTGCTTAATCATAAAAATAATTACAGAGACTTCAAGTTTGAGAAGATTGTTCACATAAAAAGAGGTGTGGGATACTGGCATATATTTTTATCTTACCAAGTCTTGTAAAAGCATATAAGCAAGTGTGTACAAATAAAAAATGTTAACAATGAAAGAGAAAAATCCATATTGTTATATAAGGTAGAGTGTTATATTGTCCTGTTATTTTAATTCTTGTGTTGCTGTTGCAGCTTTGTTCTAAAAATAAAACTTATACTGATGAAATATTAACCTGAAAAATACAACTTAAGTGCCATATATAAACATTCACAGTAGACCCACAGACATGCACTTATCCCTAGAGCAAGTTAAAAAATGCCCAATACAACTTTGAGTGAGCCCATGGCTATGGTAATTTTTAAGACTACAGGCATAGAAGAGCCAGTGTGTTTGCCATCTTCTCTTGGTACTTGCAATATCTCCCAACTTTATTCACTTATTTGCTACATACAAAGGTCAGCAAGGAAGTGATGTATATTTAGCTGTGGAAGATAATAACAGGTAGAGAAAGTTTACCTTAAACATAAAGGTCAGAGAGTCTAACATGGCAAGAAAAAAAATGCTCCCATTTAACTCTGTCTCTGGAGGGAATGATCAAAACATAGAGGAAGCTAGAAAGACTGAAAATAATGTGTAGGAAGAGCTTGTGAGCTGAAGGCAAATTTTAAAAATTCTAATTTTTAAAATTAACTTGTATAGTTCAGAGAAGAAAAAGAACATTATAATTCATTAAATACAATAGCCAAATATCAATATCAATAATTGTTGGGGATTTTAAAAATATAACTGGGTTACTAGACTCTTGCCCAGACACATGGAGATTTAGCAGGATATAGATTTCTAATTTCTACGTAAGTATATTTTATATTCTTCTAATAGACATTATTGGTAGACATTTTAATTACATATTAGTCATTATTTTAAGAATTACAATAATAATAAAAAATAGAAATAATACATACTGATCCATAGAGTTCTCCTTTGTCATTCATTCCAAGATAGAGACCACTGTCCACACCTCTAATGCTGACCAGTCCCACTGCCACACTGATGAATTCCAAAATACCTGCATATGTAAACAATTTACAAACACACTATGTTTTGTATTTATGAATAAGCATATGACTAACAAAACTCTTCCAAATAGTAACAGAAGTTGGCCATTATTGCTAAATATAATGATATATACGTAGAAGTCCTTTGTAAACTGGAAACAGCTAGGCAATTATTTTATGGCAGATGAAAAAAAGACAAGAAAAGAAAAAAAATTGCTCATCATATGTGACAACCCAAGTATAAAGGGGACCCCAGAGAACCTCTGACCAGCCAGTGCACTGGGACAATGGGATGGAGCCTTGGGAAATTCACATGCTTTGCAACAGGGAGATGCCTGGCCTTTCCTGTAACTGGGTGGTAACCTGGGATTCAGTCTGTGAGATGGGGGCCTGGTAATAGGAACCTCTCTTGCTTTGCTTATTTTTTTTTCTTTTCATCCAATAAATTCCATTTTTCTCTCCCTTCTATGTGTCCATGAGCCTACTCTTTTCTGGTCATGTGACAAGGACCTCTGCTTTTAACTGAATGAAGGAGAAAGTCCTACAACAGTGGCATAATATGAAGGATGTGAAACTTTACACTAGAGTGAGCTGGGTTTAAATTCCAGTTCAGGAACTTACTAACTAGGTTGAGTAGGCAAGTCATTTGTCTTCTTTGAACTTTAATCTCCTCATATGCAAAATGGATAAAATGCCTCCCTAAAGGAGATGGGTGAGAATTTTTTTCTGCACGCACATTTAGGCATTCAACAAATGGAAGCTATTATTATTAAAAATTGTATATAATAGAGTTATTCTCAGTTTTCCATGATCCCCTTAGTTAATTATAACCACTTTCTAGTCATCGTTTGTTTTTATTTACGATAAATCACATCAATCTGTTTCTAGGAGCAGCAGCATCCCTTATTGGGTATAACAGTGTTTTATAGTTAATAAAGGGCATCTGTTTCTATTTTCTCATCTGGACTTAAAAAACAAGCCCTTAAAATAAATAGAGAAGATATTATTATCCCGATTTTACATATAAAGAAACTAAGGCTCAGAAAGGCTTACTGACTTGCCTAAGGGACATGATGTTTGGAACTGGTAGAACTGATACTTAAACTTCCATTCTCAGCCCTAATCCAGTGTTTCTTGTTCAGGACACTGTTTCTTGAGGACAATACAGTAGTTTCAAGACTTTATAGATTATATAACATGTTATGTTTCCTGCTATATAATTTTTAAAATCAAATTGCATAGTTCAGAGAAGAAAAAGAACTTTATAATTCATTAAATCTGACAGCCAAGTATAATGAATTTAGCATGCAAGTAGATTTGCTATCAATAACTTCCTAGAATTATTTCCATTTATCGTAAACTAAGAACAAAAACTCTTCCCTAAATATGCTGATACACCATAGTTTAAAAACTTTAAACTTAATGTCTCCCTCTAAATCACCCTTTCGTTTTCTGCACACACTAAACTTTGGACTAACACCTTTGTCTCATTCTTCCCTCTTCAACTCTGCTGAAAAAGCATAGCTGTACTTTCTATGCTTGGAGCTGCCTTCCTCAATAGCATACTGCCTTCACCCCTTCACCCCATCCTGAGCTCTACAAACAGTATAAATGTGTACCATTTAGCCTGACTCTTGCTCTTAAGTCATTTCTTGATTTATTGTACAAGTTCCTGTTTGGACACGTGATACTCCCAAGGCCAAGGGAAAGTACAGAATCTGACTATTTGCTGATATGCAGGGCTCTATTCTATCCAAAGCTTAATTCATTCTTTGGCAGAAACATAGATTCTTAGCAAGACAAATGAGCTCTTTCAAATTATTAGGAGATCATGTAGAACACTAGAGCTATCAAGGATCTTACAGCAACAATACACTGCTAAATAGTCTCTAAGTGGCTTGAAAGAGCCAGGATCCCTCATTGAAAGAAGATAAGATATAGCAAGAAGGCTCAGACTCCATGGGACAGCCATCATAATGACAAATACAGAGGTGGGGAGTGAAGGAAAATCAAACTCACAGCCAAGTTCATTAGCAAAAGAGTCCTGTCAGATACAAAAACATAGGCCCAAAACATAATTGGTAGAAAACATATATATTAATGCAATTTCATTCAGGATATAATTACAAATGTATAGTTACTTCGTCTTGAATGTTACATTCAAATTAAAAAGGGTACTGTAGCTGAAATGCAACTTAATTCCCTTTAAGTATCTGATTAACATTAAGATTCTCTTGTCTTGCAAAGAACAGGAACTGATTAAGTGATTAGAATGTAGAATGGAGTAAGTTTTCAACTACAATAAAATAAAGCCTTAATTTCCATATAAGCTAATTATCTAACAGATCTCATTAAGTATTCATTTTTCTTGGAAAACTAAAAGGTAAACCACCTATACTTTAATTCTTATCTTAATGCTGTCATCTTGCCAAAAAATATGTAGTTGTATAAAGACAAAAGATCACATATGTTCTTAGAATAATTATATGCAATCGTTTTAATTTTATTAAACAATATTCAAAACCTTATATATAACCAGGCATAAATAATTTGGCAATGGCTCATGGGACTGATGGGAAAGAGGTTACGTGTTTTTTGTGTGTGTTCCTCTTAAAGATTTTAGTCACACTTTTAAATTCTGATCCTTTTTCTCCTTGAGGAAATAGTATACCACATAGTAATTTGTAATCATTTGATTCTTAAATGAGATTTGACAAGTCTTTCTTATTTATAATATGAGGTGGCAACCAAACTAATTCCTTTACAAACAGCAGACATGAAAAACTTTCCTTAAGAGGTAATCACAGATTTTAGATAGATTTTCTAATGCCCAGTGTCCCATAAAAAGACTTGGAGGTACTTTGTCTTTCTGGTATCACTTTCAAAGCCAGCCTTTTTAATAATCATAATAAACAGGTGAGTCAACCCACAATGCAACCACATCAGACAAATCTATGGAGAATAGTGGAGAATAAAGGAAAAGCCTTTAAAGAAATATGTTTGATCTCAGGCTAACCTTTTTTTTTTTTTAAGAAATGATTCCATGTTTACGTATTAGGTAAAGTCTTCCTACTGTACTACTGCGCAGAAAACCTCCATTATAAATACAGAGATATGACCAAATAAGTATAAAATTGGCAAAAAAAGTTATTTCCTTTAAATCTCAAATAGCCATCCCTGAGTTTTTCAAAATTGTCACTCTGATAACAAAGATAATCATTTTTTAAAAATTAAAAAATAATATAATAGTAACTGAAGCACTAGCAAAAGAAGGCAAACAAACAGAAGCATACAATGTTATATGGGTTGAACATAAATTTTCTTCCTACCTACACTCTCTTGTAGTAAATTATGATATCTAAGCTATTGAAGCCCACTAGGATACACTATAGTATATCATCAGGAGGCCATTCACGCCTTTTGGTTTCCAGAGTAATCTGGGTTATCTTCCTTTTGTTTAGCAGTGAGTATTTTGTTCCTATACATAGCCTCCCACCATAGAGTGACTTACACTGGCACAAATTCAATCTGTCATTTTTTTTTTTTTGCAACTACTGAATAACTAACACAAGTTTAGCAAAAACAAAATGTGCTAGCAGGATAATAATTCTGATATGCAACTTCCATTCCTAAAGAAATGCCATTAAATGCCATGAATGAATGTTAACAAGTTTACAAATATTTACTTATCTCTCCCCATGGGGTCAGTCTTATAAACAGATACAAAGCAGAAAAGGCCTATTTTTTTTTTCTGTCATTGAGGAGATTACAGATTAATTAAAAGTGTCTTAAAAGTAGAATTTTCAAGACTACACTGTGTATTCCAGGGTGAAAGTCTGAAAATTACCTAAGCTTAACTTCTACCTGCTCTACCTTTAAGTATTGTCATATTTGTGTTTATTTTTAAATCTTTCTGGTAGTTGGAAGATTTTTCTGTAACGAGTGGAGTGAAGTCATCTTTCAAGGCAAGAGAACTGAGCCACCTGATGTCAGCAAAGTTCTTCAGAGTGGAAATTGTAGGGCCAGGCACAGTGGCTCATGCCTGTAATCCCAGTACTTTGGAAAGCCAAGGCGGAAAGATTGCCTGAGGCGAGGAGTTAGAAAATCTCAAGCCTCCTCAGTTTAAAAACCACTTTCTAAAAGTGACCCCAGGTTGGCCACTAGGTCATGACACTCTTGACTGATGGTCAATGGGAATTTGGAGGAGATCAATGGAAGCTGCAAACATGTGGGTTTTAAAAAGTTAATTTTCTAAGCCTTTAAGTGCTACCAAACGACCACCACATGCTTATTTCTATATCTAGAGTTACAAATGCCCCCATCAAACTGAGATTTACACTTCTCCAATGTTTTAATGTCCTACAAGCCAAGAAAGGAAGAATTATAAGAACAAGGCAGTGAGGATGAGATAAGAGAGGGCCATTCAGAGATGGGTGGATTCTCAAAGAATGCCATTGCACTACAGATTGTGGCTGACAAATTAATGGAATCTTTTTTAAAAATGCAATGAGTTTTTCCAATGATATCTGAGGATCAAAATCCTTTGAAATTGCTTGCAGGTTAATTCTCATAGAATGGAAACTTCTGCTATGGGGGAAAGATCCTGGGATATTAGAACCAGAAAGCACCTAAAAAAGATCATATAATTTAACCCAATTTTTTGTACAGAAAAGAAGCCTCAGACTGATAAGGGCACTTTCTAGTTACACAGCTAGTTAGAAAGTCATTAACAGGAGAGACTCTCCCAATCTAGTACCTTAACAGACACTGCCTTAACAATCGTTTGCTTGTTTCTTTCTTTTAACCCCTTCTCTTCCCAGGCACTGCTGGAGGTATTCTGAACTAGGTCCCTCTGTGTTCCCACCCATATCTTCTTTCGCTTTCCCATTTCCTCTTTCCTAAGGTCAACACCAAGATCCTTGCTTTCAGGTTGCACAATTTCTAAAAAGGAGCCTGGATGAAAAACTGGGCATGCTCCGTAGCCGGACAGTCTTCCCTCTCCCCCACCCCTCCCCCATTCCTTTTCTTTTCTCATCCAGATAGAACTTAGGAGCTCAGAGAATCTCAGACAGGTGAGCCCGACGGTAGCGAAGCTGCCCACGCAAAGTTAATCTGCTACCTCTTTGGGTGAACATTTGCAGGTCTCTAGGTAGACGCGTAAATGCTCGCCACCCAGGCCAAGAGCGACGACCTGAGCGAGCAGCAGCCCCAGGTGCATAATCAGCTGCGTAACCGTGGGGCATCTTTAAAGAAGCGCAGGCTTCCTGTAGTTAATTTTTGTAAAGTGGAAGGCATGGGGGAAAATGAGAAAGGAAATCGGAGAAAAATATACAGGGATTTTTTTTTTTTTACACTGCCTGCGACGTAAGCAGTGCAGAACTGTGATGCCGAGTGCACCAGGTCTTGGTGTCCCAGGCAGTGGGAAGAGCAAGGGGAAGGCAGGAAGGAGCCTGCGGAGCGCCCACCCTTTCTTCTGCCGCCCCCAGCGCTGGAGCTGCTGCCTGCTAGAGGCTGCGGCGACAAACGGGCAGGAAAATTTCTGCCGGTGCCTGCTCTGGCCCGCCCTTCAGCCCCAGCCTGCAACTCGCACCGGATGGGTCCAGGGGAGCTCCGGGCTCCGCGCAGTGCTGACGCCCTTGACAGGGAGGCGCACAGGGAGGGGACGAGGAGCCCAGCTGGGGCGCGGGTGGGGGTGGGGTCGGGATGCTGGTACGTACCGAAGAGGCTGTGGTCCCGCCGGGTGCCCTGCACGCTGCCGTCGGGCAGGATCTGCAGGTGGAAGCCGGTGCGGCAGTAGAGCTGCCGGCGGCGCAGGATGCCGTGCAGGTGCGCCAGCTCCGCTGCCCCCTGCCCGCCGCGGGTGCTCCGCTCCGCTGCGCTCTTGCGCTCGCTCAGCAGGGGCGGCTGCTCCCCAGCAAGAGGCAACAGGAAATGCGAGCCCACCTGCTGGCCCAAGCCCTCCAAGCCGCCCAGAAAGCTCCCGACTTCGGCTAAGGGAGCCATGTAGGGGGAGATCCGGAACACAAAAGACCCCCCCCAATAAAGAGTGTTGCGGGGGTGGGATGGAGGTGGATAGAGAAAAATTATAGCAAAACGAGCTCAAAAAGTTAAGGCCCGGTGACTCCTCTGAGGTCGCTGGAGAGACTTTGCACTGAAATGGCAGGGAAGCTCTCCCTGTCTTGGAGCGATCTTCTCTCCTTGGGTAGGTGGGAGCAGGCTGCTGGCTCTGCCGAAATATCTATAGCTGCCGCTGCCAATACTAGGACTGGGGCTGGGGGCTGGGGCTCCAACTCCGCAAACTGATCAGATCAGAGTCCTGTGTACATACACACCGAGTATATAAGCGGGTCCTCTTGACATATGCTAATCAAGTCCTTTCATGCGCGCTGGGGAGGTTCTGTTTGAAATCTTAAACCGGCCTCCTCTCAACACGTTTTTGCTCTTCGGAAGTGACCAAAAGAGGCCTTTGGCTCTTCTCCATCCGTGCCCTAGCAAAAATCATTCCTGCACTTGGCCAAATCCAGCCAGCAACTTCGAGGCCCCTCTTTGGGGTTGTCTTTGGGACAGTGGTGATGCTGTTCAGCTGCGTCCCTGCAACAACCTTTGATGTGAGCTTTGCAGTGATAGATCGGCGCTAAAAAGAGCCCAACTTGGCAGGTATATAGAAGAAGAGTAAGGGAGGAGGAGGGAAGGCGGGGAAAGGGGGGGGGGGAGAGAGAGAGAGAGAGAGAGACAGAGAGAGAGAGAGAGAGAGAGAGAGAGAAAGAAAGAGAAAGGGGGGCGTTGGTAGGAGGAAAAAGAAGAGAATTGAACTCCTTGGGAGCCGCTGGGAGCCTGCAGTGGACAGGTGCAAAGAAAGGTAAGCCAGGGAGAAGGAAAAAGGGCGTTACCTGAGGCTTACAGACCTGCCCAGACACACATGAAAGAAAAATCAAAGCTTTGACAGTTTAACTTACTAATTTTAAAACATTAATAAAATGTACAAGCATTACTTTTTTCTTTTATCATTTAGATGGGGGATTTTCTTTACATAATCAAGGTTAGGTAAGGAACACCCTCTCTCCCCACTTTACAATTTCCCTTTAATGTTTATCTTTACTCAGCACATAATATAACCAATATTGTCATATATATGTACATATATACACATATGTATTTTTAATTGTGTGCTAAGGTCATGAACTTCTAATTAGCATAAAATAATAACAATATAAACATGAATCAAAGGATTTAGAGTAGATCCAAATAGGTTGGAAAGAAATGGTTTACATTCCTATGTTTTGCCATGAATAGAAAATGAATATCTGGAATATCGTCATAAATGATGAGTGGCCTCTTGGACCTTTACACAATCTAAGAGCACTTTCCTGTTTTTCTTAGTTGCGTTTTTGTAAAAGCTAGAGTTTTTGTTTACATTTTAATTACAAAATCTAAAAATAACTCAATGGAAATAGTCTTGATGCTTGATGTGTTTCGAGACTTCAAAAGTTACTGGTAAAATTGAAGAGCACTTGTGCATATTTTTAAAATCAAAAACCATGGAAGCAAAGAAGTTAGATACATGTCCATTGAAATGTTGAAACTGGTTTTGCACCTCTAACTAAATTCAAGATCTTTCTGTTAAAATTTTTCAGTGGCAGAAGAGTTGAGAATCATTGGGCATATTTATGCTACCTCTGAGCAACATTTTTAGGGAATCGCTGAAGATTCGTTTTTCAGGCTTGTTTCATGGTCTGTTCCACAAAAGCTTAAACCTGGGAGCTCAGCTGGATTTGACTGGTTTATTTTATTTGCTCTGAAGGACTTTTTTCTAACTAATTGGCAGGTGCTGTAAAGTGGGTATAGTTACACATTTTCATCACTATAGGCCTAAGTACTGACCCTGTGCAACCAAGGTATAAAAGAGTTCTTAAAGCAAGTGATTTACTGTTGATAGATATGAAATAAAACAAAAACACTGGCTAACAACAATAAACAGATAAATCACTTTAGAAATGTATATTGCTAAGTCTATTTTAAAGGTTGTTCCAGGTAAATGTCATATTATTTTACCTTTCAAATAACAGCAGTCTGTCTTGTGGTAGGACCCCAAATCCACCATAATCAAGATTTCAAAGCACATCTGTGTAAACATTATCACATCAGTGTAAAACATCAACCAATGAGCTTTAACTTTGAACCAAATCTTCTTAATTGCAGTGTTAAATCAAAGAAAGTTAGATCAAAGTTGTGTGAATCTCATAGCAGGATAACTGAAGTAGCCAGTACATCCATTGATCACTTTTAAAGAGGAGATACTTAAAGGTTTTAAACTTAGATCAAGTGCCTTTTAATGAGGTTTGTTTCAAGGTCTAAGTTCTGTGCAACATATAATGCTGTTAATTATTCCATAATGGATATATATTATCATCACCTGCTTCTAGAGGTACTAGTTCAGTCTATAAACTATTTTCCCACATGAACACTTTAGTCCTGTGAGTTATAGCTCTTAGACTGTTCAAATCTCTTCTATTTCATATATATATATACTAAAATATGGGGAATTTCTTATAGTCATGAAAGTTCAAATACTTTCACAATAGAGTCACCTTCTCTTTGTACACCTTGGTTTTTGTGTGTGTATTGCCTTATTTTATCACCACAATGACCATATGACATAGTCACATCCGACTTTATAAAGAAAAAATATGGTCCTAGATTCCAGTTTAGTCCAGAGTCCAACACCCAGGGCAATTTCCTTAAGTCCTCTAAATGCCTCTATTTTCTCTTTTGTAAAATAAGGAGAGTATAACTTCAGCCTAGTTCACTATGCCTAGAGTTGCTATGAGACTTAAATGTAAAAATATATATAGGAAAGTGGTTTTAAAACCATAGTTTTCTATGCATAGAATGTGCTAGACAAGTTAATTGTGAAATTTTTGCTTTATAACTTAGCAAATATAACTGGTCTGAAATACAAAATAAATCTTTTTTTGCCAAACCAAACCTTTACTGTGTAAGTTTTGAATGGTGCTTAATGCCGTTTTATAAAGGACCAGACTAGAAACAAAAAGATAAGGATTTCTTTTCTTTGCACTAGTCATGTGACAGGAAAAGATAACACTGAAGATTTTTTTTTTTGCACGTGCTGTGATGATATCATGGGAAGTTAAATAATTTTGAAGAGTGTTTTACAAGAGTGCATTATTCAGCTTTTAAGTATACACTGCAATCTAATCAACTTTACCTATGCTTCCTAGAGACCACACTTGCCTTGCTGTTATACAAATATGTGGTACAACTTCTACTTCCACAAAATGTAGTTACAGTTTTCCAGACCATATAATCTCTGTATAGCTTTTCAGATGATATATTGTCATGAATCTTTGTTTTTACATATGAGGAGTTCCACCTATTGATGTCTGTACATGTGTTTAATTTGAGAAAAAGGAATAGAGCTGTTTTAACAGTCATGATTTACACCCCCAATAGAATAAGAGTATATTTGCATATTACTCATTATTTATAATTACAAAATATTAGCAACAGCGTAAATTTCCATGCATAGGAAACTGAATAAATTATGGTACATTCACACAATGGAGCATTATACAGCTGGGAAAAACAAAGAATGAGAAATATCTCTATGAACTAACATATTTTCAGGATATACTGTTAAGTGAAAATAGCAAAGAATATACATAGTGTCTGCCTTTTCTGTAAGAAAGAAAAAAATAAGAACCTTCTACATCTATATGCTTATTTATTCTAAAAATAAACACAGAATGGATAAACCAAAAACTAACTAACTTGATTACCTGGCTAATTGGTTACCAGGGAATGGATGTGAATGGAATGGAATAGAAGGCATGGAAGAGTGACACTGGTCTGAGAACGTTTTATAAAGTTTTGACTTTTGGGAAAATGTTAATGTTTTACATTTTTTTTAAAAAATGAAATAAACAAAAATGAGGGAGAAGTGAGGATGGAATAAAACAAGAAGCAAATGGACCTAACTGTATTAAAGTAAATAATGCAACCACACAGAAGGGAACAATAATAGATTATTTTCTAAGAAAGAAAGAAACCCAAGTAATTATCAGATTCAGTCTTGTGATGACATAATCAAGGTCTAAGGAAAAACCACATAAAAAAATCTCCAACTTCAATGAAAAAACTTGTTTTCCTCAGTAGCAGGGGTTAGTGTGTTGTAGGATTGAACAAATGAATAAACATATTGAAGATAATGAGAGCTAGGGGTTTCATTATTAAAGAATAGCGTTCAGATATGAAAAGAAGGAAGACTGGAATGAACCCTGTAGTGTTAAGCTGGAATTGCAGCTGTCAGTATTAACACGTGGTGCCTGTGTGTATGTACGTGCATGTGTATGTGGCTATCATAGCCCTGTCCACTAGGGGCTAGAAGCAAACATATCCCAAGTCGGTGAGCATATCTCGCATCTAAGTCTTGGTTTCTCAATTCAGTATCCTACTAAAATGATCAATATAACCTTGGAAAAATGTCTGGTTCCAGAACTGGGCCATTATTTTGTGTGCCGGAAGGCAAGGAATTACTGAAAAGAAAAAAGAATAAGGACATGTCCAAGGAACATAAGCCAAATCTGGGCAACTTGAGCATCAAAATAAATAATGACAGGAACAAGATATTTATGAAATAAATAAAAATATTTGAGTGCAACCGTTAAAGTACACAACCAACCAAGAAACCAATTAATAAGGGAGAAGGGAAAACTTTTTCTCATGGCAGAATACCAACTAATAAATATTAAAAGAATGATGGAAAAAGGACCACTTTGCATCCATCCTAGGATCATTGCTGGTCCCGACAAAAACATCAATGCATGCTAAAACTTGTGAATAAAAGTGTGATGAAGAAGAATCTTTATTACAAAGAGAAAATAGTATCTTTATAGTGAATTAATCTAGTGAATACAATACTATCTTAACCGCATAATACAAGTGAATAACAGTAATGGGACAAACCAACCCCATATGTACCCTAGAAAGAATACAATGTCACTTACATGTTGTTCCTATCAAAAATCCATAATCTGAATCTAATTATGAAGAAACCCCAATTGAGGGGCATTCTACACCTGGCTGTGTTCTTCCAAAATGTCAAAATCATAAAAGACAACAGTTAAAAAACTGTTTCAGATTAAAACCAAGTAAAGCCTTGGCATGGTGGCTCACACCTGTAATCTCAGCACTTTGGGAGGCCAAGGCAGGTATAGCACTAGAGGCCAGGAGTTCGAGACTAGCCTGGCCAACATGGTAAAACCTCCTCTCTACTAAAAGTACAAAAATTAACCAGACATAATGGTGCATGCCTGTAATCTGAGCTACTCAGGAGGCTGAGGCAGAAGAATCTCTTGAATCTGGAAAACAGAGGTTGCAGTGAGCCAAGATCGAGCCACTGCACTCCAACCTAGGTGACAGAGCGAGACTCTGTCTCAGAAAAATAAAAAATAAAAATACAACTAAAGAGACCTGAAAACTGAATGTGGTATACGATCTTGGTATGGGGCCTGAACCAAAAGCTAACAATAAGAATGATAAAGAACATTATTGAAACAACTGGCAACATTTGAATATGGAGTGTGAATTTGAAAATAGTATTATATAAATAGTGCTGCAATAATCAGCT